AATCAACAAAATTGCATGGGTTAAATTTTTGTGTTCCCTCCTGTTAATTTTGTGTTCCCAGTACGTTCCCTCCTGTAGGATACTGTAAGGGGTCACACACAAACCCTATGCACCATAAGATAAATAAATCTCAGGGAACATACATATTTATTATTATGTATTTTTTATTTGTGAAAAAAAAATTTGCGTGTAACATTCATTTTATAAATAATAATAAAAAAAATGCTTTTGCTTGTCCGAGTCTTGGATGATGATGATGATAATGATAATTTATGTTAAATGGCATGCTAAAGTATAATAATAATTTCCGCAAATATGTACTTTCGAAAATATCTATCTTATTGTTCATTTCAGAATTAATTTCAAGTACAAATTCCTTAAACAATTCTCTATCTAAGATCTTCCCTTATTCCGGGACTTTTAATGATGTAGCTCTTAATTTAAGTTTCCTTAAAAATAATCTAGACCTCCATTTTAAGAAAGTTCCAAGTTCTTTTGAATAATTTTAAGTTCTCTGGAATTAATAATGATGATGAATGCTATAATCATTGTAATTGGGTTGAAAATCATTCATTCCATAATAAATAACGATTTCACATCACTACATGTGATTTTGGATTTTTTTGTTGATCAATTGAAATTTTTTTCATATATAGCAATAGTTTTCTCCATGATAATTTTCTGTTGCACCGATATATCTTTTGTTTAAAAATTCCAAAAAAATTTATGACCCAACCTTAACTGTTTGATAAATAATGTAGATTGATAATGATAATGGGCTTAGTTATTTATTGCTTGAACAAGAAATTTCCTAATTCGTATTAAAGTTGATGCGGTGTTAAGTGTACTGAATTTTTTTTTTGACAATGAAAGTCATTGAACATATCTAATTTGTATTTTTTGATTATTAAATAAAATGATTATATAAATAAAATGATTACATAAATAAAAAAAATAATTTACGAAATTGAATAAAATTTCTTTATTCATCGGAAAATTAATAATTTATTTTCATAATGACTTCTATGGTGCGCTCCAGGTCTAAAACAGAACGCACAGTAGCTGATGAAATTCGTTCGGATGGCACTCGTGCTATCATCATAACTGATACTTTTGAAGAAACCATTGAACAAGTTGCACCAGTTATAAATCAAATAAATCATACAACTCCAATAAATCATATAAATCAAATAAATCAAATAAATCATATAAATCAAATAAATTATAATATTATCATGGTGAATAAATCGCCATCATTTGAAATTCCTATTATTAAGATCAATGATAATAGCGAACCTGAGATAGATAAGGTAAAAGAAGAAGAAGAATTAGTGAAAGAAAAAAAAGTTGAACAACAAGAGTATAATAAATCGAAAGATAGTGAAAAGAAGCAAGATGATGATAAATTAATCAATAATGATAATCTGGGTAATGAGGTCAAAGAAGGAAAAAAAGTTGAGCAGCAAGAGAATAATAAATCGAACAATAATGACAAGAAGCAAGAAAATATTAAATTAACCATCAGTAATAATAATTATATTATCAATGAGGTCAAAGAAGGAAAAAAAGTTGAGAAGCAAGAAAAACCGAAAGATAGTGACAAGAAGCAAGAAGATAATAAATTAATCATCAATTATGATATGGTTAATGAGGTCAAAGAAGGAAAAAAAATTGAGCAGCAAGAGGATAATAAATCGAAAGATAATGACAAGAAGCAAGAAGATAATAAATTAATCATCAATAATAATATGGATAGAGAGGTCAAAAAAGAAGAAAAATTTGAGGAGCAAGGGAATAATAAATCGAACGATAATGACAAGAAGCAAGAAGATAATAAATTAACCATCAGTAATAATTATTATATTATCAATGTGGTCAAAGAAGGAAAAAAAGTTGAGAAGCAAGAAAAATCAAAAGATAGTGACAAGAAGCAAGAAGATAATAAATTAATCAATAATGATAATCTGGGTAACGAGGTCAAAAAAGGAAAAAAAGTTGAGCAGCAAGAGGATGATAATAAATCGAAAGATAATGAAAAGAAGCATGAAGATAATAAATTAATCATCAATAATAATATGGATAGGGAGGTCAAAAAAAAAGAAAAATTTGAGGAGCAAGGGAATAATAAATCGAACGATAATGACAAAAAGCAAGAAAATATTAAATTAACCATCAGTAATAATAATTATATTATCAATGAAGTCAAAGAAGAAGAAAAAGTTGAGGAGCAAGAAAAATCAAAAGATAGTGACAAGAAGCAAGAGGATAATAAATTAATCATCAATAATAATATTCATATTATCAATGAGGTCAAAGAAGGAATAAAAGTTGAGCAGCAAGAAGATAATAAATTAATCAATAACGATAATATGTATAGGGAGGTCAAAAAAGAAGAGGAGCAAGTGAATAATAAATCGAAAGATGATGACAAGAAGCAAGAAGATAATAAATTAATCATCAATAATAATAATTATATTGTCAATGAGGTCAAAAAAGAAGAAAGTGTCGAGGAGCAAGAGAATAATAAATCCAAAGATGATGACAAGAAGCAAGAAGATAATAAATTAATCATCAATAATAATAATTATATTGTCAATGAGGTCAAAAAAGAAGAAAAAGTCGAGGAGCAAGAAAAATCGCAAGATAACGACAAGAAACAAGAAAATAATAAATTAATCAACAATGATAATGAGGAACAAGAAGAATCGAAAAATAATGACGAGAAGCAAAATGATATTAAATTATTAATCATCAATAATGATATTAAATTAATCATCAATAGTACGGATAATAATAATATGGATAGGATCAAAGAAGAATTAGCAGAAGAGGAACAAGAAAAACCAAAAGATGATGACAAGAAGCAAGAAGAAGATAAATTGCCCCATAATGATAATTATGCTACCAACTATGATAATATGGAAAAAGCCAAGGAGAAACCAAAAATTACAACTAAAGAGAAATTAAATTTTATATTGCTATTTATTGGGTAATTATATATTTGCTTAGTTCACTCAACGTTTAATTGATTTTATTATTGATTGTTTGTTGTTTTTTCTACTTTAGTCTTTCATTTGGAATTTTTTTGGCTGCATTGGATCAAACTATTATTGTAACAACTTTGCCCGCCATTGGTAAAGAATTTCGAAAATTTGATCAAATAACATGGATAGGCACGGCCTACCTACTAACTGCGGTATGCTACTAAATTATAAGTTTATCCTTTGAATATTGTTTGATTAACTTACTTAACTACTTTATGTTAATTGTTTACTGTAGACAGCTTCTCAACCAACTTATGCAAAGCTTACGGATATTTTTGGACGGAAAGGTCCATTTTTGTCTGCAGTTATAATCTTCGTAATTGGAAGCGTTGTATGTGGTGCAGCCCCCAATATTGTAAGAATTTTAAATATTTAAATAAATCATTTCACGATTTAAAATTAAAATTAAAATTTTTTTGGAAATCATATCATAGAATGCATTAATCGTAGGTCGTGCTATTGCAGGTTTAGGTGGTGGTGGTATTTTGGGGTAAATAAAAAAAATCCATTCTTCTTCTGTTGGTTCTGACTATAATCTTGAAAATTTCTTTTAATGAATTTCATATTTAAATAAATATAGATTGGTGCTAGTAATAGTTGCAGAGATGGTTCCAACAGAACAACGTGGCAAATATCAGGGAATTATTGGTGGTTTCTTTGCTATTTCATCTGCTATAGGTCCTATTTTAGGTGGAATATTTGTAGATTATGTAACTTGGAGGTAAATTTCTATCGTAAAAAAGATATAAAAATTTCACTTTTCAATCGTGTAATTAATAAACATATTCCTTTATATATATATATATATGATTGAATTCAGGTGGTCGTTTTATATTAATGTACCATTAAGCGCAATTACTTTAATAACAGTAATTTTTTTTTTTCATCCACCAAATAATAATAAGAAACAAGAATCATTAATAGAAAAATTAAAACGAGTTGATTGGTGGGGAACTTTAGTTTTAACAACCTCAATATTTTTAATATTATTAGCATTTAATTGGGGTGGTGCTAAATATGAATGGTATCATCCTGCAATAATTGTATTATTGTGTGTTGGCGGGATTGGCTTTTTATTATTTGCTTTTATTGAAGGATATGTTGCAAAGGAACCACTCACTCCAGGTAAATTTAATTAAATTTTTTTAATTTAAAAAAAAAAATGGATTATAATGTTAATTGATTTTTTTTTTTGATTTTTATTTTATTTAAAAGCTCTATTATTTAAGAAACGTTCAAGTGTCGCATCTTTTGCTGTTACATTTTTTCAAGGAATGTCATTCTTTACTTTGGTATATTTTGTGCCATTATATTTTCAATTAGTTAAAGGATCATCAGGTACAAAATACACAATTTATTTTCTTTTAAAAAAAAAAAAAAAAAAAAGATTTTTTAATCAAAAATAAATAAATTAGCAACCATATCCGGGGTAGAATTATTACCATATATACTAGCAACAGTTTTTGCCACAATATTCGCCGGTATATTGATTACTCTCTTAAAGAAAACATCATATTGTACACATTTGTGTATACTAGGGTCAGTATTAATAACAATCGGTACAGGACTGATTAGTACATTTACAGAAAATAGCACAAGAGGTGAATTGACTGGCTACTTGATAATAGCTGGTATTGGAGCTGGTCTGATTATGCCAACTACCATTTCATTTGTACAGATTATCGTTCCAAAAGAGCACATTGCAGCTGCTTCTTGCTTAATTTCTTTGTTTAGAACAAGTAAGTTTTTTAATTTATCTATGTAGATGTGTGTACGTTTGGTGTGTGGAAAATTCTAATTAATCAAATTTCTCTTTTTTTTTTTTTTAAAATAAATAATAAAGTTGGTGGAGTTTTTGGCATAGCAATAGTAGGTGTAATACTTAATAACGATATAAACAATCATATGAATGACCTTGTGGGTGCACTTTTTACTCCATCACCCCTTGAAAAGTCTCAACAATTAACACCATTTCTCAAGGATGCATTGTCTAGTTTTAATGATATTGACATTGATAATTTACCACCAGCAGTTAAAATTACATTCACAGCTTCTCAACCAACTTATGCAAAGCTTACGGATATTTTTGGACGGAAAGGTCCATTTTTGTCTGCAGTTATAATCTTCGTAATTGGAAGCGTTGTATGTGGTGCAGCCCCCAATATTGTAAGAATTTTAAATATTTAAATAAATCATTTCACGATTTAAAATTAAAATTAAAATTTTTTTGGAAATCATATCATAGAATGCATTAATCGTAGGTCGTGCTATTGCAGGTTTAGGTGGTGGTGGTATTTTGGGGTAAATAAAAAAAATCCATTCTTCTTCTGTTGGTTCTGACTATAATCTTGAAAATTTCTTTTAATGAATTTCATATTTAAATAAATATAGATTGGTGCTAGTAATAGTTGCAGAGATGGTTCCAACAGAACAACGTGGCAAATATCAGGGAATTATTGGTGGTTTCTTTGCTATTTCATCTGCTATAGGTCCTATTTTAGGTGGAATATTTGTAGATTATGTAACTTGGAGGTAAATTTCTATCGTAAAAAAGATATAAAAATTTCACTTTTCAATCGTGTAATTAATAAACATATTCCTTTATATATATATATATATGATTGAATTCAGGTGGTCGTTTTATATTAATGTACCATTAAGCGCAATTACTTTAATAACAGTAATTTTTTTTTTTCATCCACCAAATAATAATAAGAAACAAGAATCATTAATAGAAAAATTAAAACGAGTTGATTGGTGGGGAACTTTAGTTTTAACAACCTCAATATTTTTAATATTATTAGCATTTAATTGGGGTGGTGCTAAATATGAATGGTATCATCCTGCAATAATTGTATTATTGTGTGTTGGCGGGATTGGCTTTTTATTATTTGCTTTTATTGAAGGATATGTTGCAAAGGAACCACTCACTCCAGGTAAATTTAATTAAATTTTTTTAATTTAAAAAAAAAAATGGATTATAATGTTAATTGATTTTTTTTTTTGATTTTTATTTTATTTAAAAGCTCTATTATTTAAGAAACGTTCAAGTGTCGCATCTTTTGCTGTTACATTTTTTCAAGGAATGTCATTCTTTACTTTGGTATATTTTGTGCCATTATATTTTCAATTAGTTAAAGGATCATCAGGTACAAAATACACAATTTATTTTCTTTTAAAAAAAAAAAAAAAAAAAAGATTTTTTAATCAAAAATAAATAAATTAGCAACCATATCCGGGGTAGAATTATTACCATATATACTAGCAACAGTTTTTGCCACAATATTCGCCGGTATATTGATTACTCTCTTAAAGAAAACATCATATTGTACACATTTGTGTATACTAGGGTCAGTATTAATAACAATCGGTACAGGACTGATTAGTACATTTACAGAAAATAGCACAAGAGGTGAATTGACTGGCTACTTGATAATAGCTGGTATTGGAGCTGGTCTGATTATGCCAACTACCATTTCATTTGTACAGATTATCGTTCCAAAAGAGCACATTGCAGCTGCTTCTTGCTTAATTTCTTTGTTTAGAACAAGTAAGTTTTTTAATTTATCTATGTAGATGTGTGTACGTTTGGTGTGTGGAAAATTCTAATTAATCAAATTTCTCTTTTTTTTTTTTTTAAAATAAATAATAAAGTTGGTGGAGTTTTTGGCATAGCAATAGTAGGTGTAATACTTAATAACGATATAAACAATCATATGAATGACCTTGTGGGTGCACTTTTTACTCCATCACCCCTTGAAAAGTCTCAACAATTAACACCATTTCTCAAGGATGCATTGTCTAGTTTTAATGATATTGACATTGATAATTTACCACCAGCAGTTAAAATTACATTCATGCGTATATTTGTGATTTCATTCCAAACTGCTTTTAAAGTTGGTATTGTGATGTGTGTGCTTTGTTTTGTTTCTTCAATTTTAATGATATCATGGAATAAGAGAATTATAAATCTCCGCAAGAAATAGTAATAATTTAAATAGTTAATAATGATAACAATAATAATAACAACATTAACAAATTGTGAATAGTAACAATAACAATATAATTAATAATTAACAATCAATTATAGTTAATAACAATAATAACAACAACAACAAGTTGTGAATTTTTAACTTGAAATAAAGCTTCCTTAAGAATTGTAATAAAATATCTTTGACATCTAATGGCGCAGATAATCAAAATCATATTACTGCATCGTTATCATGTTTGTGGATTCGTTCTTGAAATTTGAAATTAAACTCATTTTCTACAGACGAGAAGTGTTTTATTATTATTTTTTTTGAGAGTGTCTTTCACACCTTCGATTGTTATTCTTCTTCTCTACTAAGGTTTAGATCTGGTTTATTTTTGTTGAACTGGTTCGAATTCGGATTCTAAACAGACAAACCGGATTTAGAATTTTTTGGATAATAATAATAAATCCTATTAACAAAGCTTCAGTAATGATAATGAACTATCCTGATATGTATCTCAACCATTGAATTCAGGATGCAATTTTTTGGAGATGGCAGGTCTATTTATATGTTTTTGTAGTGATTTATTAGACCACTCGTCAATGCACCGTTTGGCCACGAAATAGTCTATTTTATGAAAAACTATATCATGCTAGGATACTTCGCATTCCAACTATTCAAATTTATTTTCTTTGTAAGTATTTTAATTTAATTCTCATATATATATATATATATATTATTGCTTCGTTGCTTGAAGATCTTCAAAAAGTACGTAAAATTGCGGTCACGTTTACTTCATCGACGGTTCATTTCGTCGAAAAACACTTCACTGACAGTTAATTTACATGGGATGACACTGTCTATTTTGATGATTATAATAATTGATGATAATTATAGTATGAATCAGACAAATTGACATTTCGTTTGAATCCAAAGCTCAGGAAATATTTATTTTCTGATAATGATTCTTTTCAAGATGCATGAAATTCAGTCATTAATATGCTTGCAAAACTGATTAGTATCCAAATTTTCTTTTTATTTAAATTTCCTGATGCTTCTAAAATCATGATTCCTAGATTCAATCACAGAACTAACAACTAAACAAATTACATAATCGATGCTAAAATCATATGGACTGTACCCCAAAATTGGCGCTGTGGCACAGAAAGTTGTGGGGGCTAAGTGTCTTGCACTTTTACTATACTATATAGGACTGGGAAAATTACATGTATGTGACCGCCCAATTAAATGAAAATCGTATTAATGCGAATTGATTTTTCTAAACACACAATTATTAATAATAATAATGCGAATCAAAATAGTGAAATTTATCTTCACTAATTAAAAACATATACAAGGAAGTTTTGTGTACTTGGCATACTAAAATATTTTATCATTTACTGCAATCAAACAAGGATTGATATATTAACGTCATTGATATCAGAGTAATCCCAAAAAATAAACTACTTCTAGTGGTGTGATATGAATTATAATGTCTCCTGTCAAATTTTTTCACCGTTGTGATACTGGAAGATAAACCTTAATAGAAATAATCTATTAAAGGTTACAACTTGATAATTGACTCCAAGTGAAATAATTTGACCACATTTGCAAATAACTTTTTTAGCGTCTTAAAACTTAGGTCATGTGATGAAATGTTGTTGGCGTAAATCATAAGGAATTCTTTTACTATTTTTACTCTTTTTTTTTTTGGTATGAGTTAAATTTTTTTTTTCTATTAATCGAATCTACTGTAAGGCGGTCACAATTTTTTTTAAAGTACTTTCGAATCATAGTGTTGACGCAGAAATCATGGAATGTGTGTTTAAAAACGGAAAATACTATGTAACATGATAATTGTTTTTTTAGAGCTACAATAACAACAATTACAATCAATACTAGAATATAAGTGAATTTCACATTGACAATGGACCATTCTGTTGATTGGGTACGAAAGTCAACTGTTGATGACCACCTTAATAGCAAATACCTCTCTTCCTTCTTCTAAATCTAAAAAAAATGAATGGGCAATTTATTGTGGATCCACGTTTAATATAGAAGTTGCATTAGATTAATATTGGTCAAATGGCTGGTTGCCGATTTTTTCTTGTAGAATAACAAAGTTTTTCTAAATGCAATCCAATTTTAGGTGATAATCGACAAATTTTATCTGAAGAATCTTTACCGAAGTTTAAATATGCTATGCTTTATTTTAATGGTGGATTTCCATTTTGTAATATTTTTTAAATAAGAAAAAATATCAAGGTTAAATAATAATAATAATAATAATAACTAATTTAATTGTCGCGTAATTATTCTTTCCGATTGCACATCATCAAGTCGTTTAACTATTACTATAGATTCGTTTTCTTTTTGAAAAATCATAAACTACAAAATTACTTCAGAATGCATAAATGTTATAACGGAAATTACACGACAGTTTTTTTTAATCCACAGCACGCATACGGAATTTGTTTTTAGCACGGACGGAGTTAGTGTTCCATCACCACAGAAAATCATTGTCCCGTCACGAGTCTAGAAATATTATTATTATGCGCAGTTGTACAGTTGTGTGACATGTATTTATTTCCATGCCCCAAAAAATTTATTTTATTTCTGAAGGATAAATTGTTCAAAAAGAATGTATAAAAAGATGTCTGGATAAATGTAATGGGTGAAATAGTAGGAGTAGTGACAAAAACCATTAATATAGAGATTTTAGCAGAATAGTGTAACAAGTTGTTTTGAAAGCAATGAAAAAATAAGCTTCTAGAAAATAACCTCCACTTCAGTATGCTTTTGCGCTCACAGTCCATAAACACATAGCTGTTTCTATAGAAGAAAAATATTTTTGCCGACGGCCAAGTATATATATATCTTGCAAATTTTAAAGTTTGATTTCCCCAAATCAATCAAATGAATTAAATTAAATAGGAAATATTTTTTATCTTGTATTTCTTGTATTTCTTGTTCAACATACGGCGGCTACGAAAATTTCTCCGTGAGAAGATTTTTAACAAGTTTTGATTACGTATGTATTATATATCATCCAATCTATATATAAACTCGCAATTTATTATTATATCAAAAAAAAAATTTTTTCTCTTATTTTTATTATAATAATAATAATAATAATGCAACTTTATGGCCTTATTTATGTTTCTCTTGATTCACAAGAGAAATCAATCCCTTTACAAAATGTTAAAGTCGAAGCAAATGGTTTGTATTCATAATTAATAAAACAATCAATTAATAATTATAATTTTTACTAATCATATTCCTTTTTGAATTTTAATAGTTGTTGATATGATTGCTGAAGGTAACTAACTAATAAGCAAACAAATATTACCATGTTTAATTATGACATTTATTATCATTTCTTATTAATTATTTTTTATTATTTAGTTGTAATTTATCAAACATATAAAAATGTAGAAGATAAGAACATTGAAGCATTATATAAATTTCCAATTTATGAAGCTGCAGCAATTTGTGATTTTGAAGCAGAAATTGATGGTAAATATAAAGTTAAAGGTATTGTTAAAGAAGCAAAACAAGCTGCTTCTGATTACAATGAAGCTATTGAGGTAAATAATCTATAATCTATATGTGAATTAGTTAATAATCCAATTAATGACAATTATTATTATTATTATTATTATTATTATTATTATTATAGAAAGGATATAGTGCTTATTTGCTTGAAGAACAATTATCAGATGTATTCCAATGTTCAATTGGAAATCTAAAAAGTAATCAGACAGTAGTTATCAAAATCACCTATGTTACTGAACTTAAACATGACTCAGAGAATGAAAAAATACGATTTGTTTTGCCAACTTCTATTGCAGAAAGATATGGATCTTCTTCTTCTTCAACAGCTAATTATGGTAAAAAACTTGTACCTGATGATGTAAAATATTCTGGGAAAGCAAATTATCAATTGGATTTAAAAATTAATTGTAGAATGACCTCAACCATTCAATCAATTGAGTCTCCTTCTCATTTGATCTCTACTGAATTAAATGTTAATGGCAATCCCAAAACTTCTAATGTTACTTTGGCTGAACAAATTACTTATTTAGAGAAAGATTTTATTTTAGTTGTCAAGAGTGAGGATCTTGATAAGCCAAGGTAATTATTTAATTGATTGTTTATATGGGTATTTATTGTTATTATTATAAATTTTAAGAAATATTTTTTTTTTTATTTATTAGGGCATTTCTTGAATATAACCCTAAAACAGAATCTAATTGTTTAATGTTGACATTAGTTCCAAAATTTTCTTTAAATCCAATTCAAACAGAAATAGTTTTTATAATTGATAGGTAATTTAATCATTCATTAATTTGTTTGTTTGATCATTTTTTCATGTCAAAATATCATCACTAAATAAATCATTTACTAAATAAATCACATTAATAATATTGATAAATAGATCAGGATCAATGCAAGGTGAACCAATTAAAAAAGCAGGCCAAGCATTAGAACTATTTCTACATTCACTACCAGAAGATTGTTACTTTAATGTGGTATCATTTGGTAGTAGTCATGATTCACTATTTCCAAAATCTCAAGAATACTCCCAAGAAACATTGGATAGAGCCATCAACTTGGCAAAAAATTTAGATGCAAGATATGGTGGAACAGAAATTTACAACCCTATAAAATGGGCACTTGATAATCAATTGAAAACTATGACCACCACTTTATTTTTATTGACAGATGGTAAAGTTTGGGGAGTTGATAAAATCATTGAATTGATTAATCAAAATGTTGAAGATAAAAACAATGATTTAAGAATTTTTACATTGGGTATTGGTGATAATGTTTCACATAATTTAGTGGAGTCAGTTGCTAGATCTGGTAATGGGTATGCAGAATTTGTTACTAATAAAGAAAGAATGGACAAGAAAATTTTGGGAATGTTGAAAAATGCTGTTAAACCACCCATCAATGATTATAGAATCAAATGGACAACAAGTTATGACAAACAAGATGAAGATGAAAATAAACTCTTTAATTATTTGTTTGAAGAAAAAGAGGAAAAATAGTAAAAGAATTCCTTATGATTTACGCCAACAACATTTCATCACATGACCTAAGTTTTAAGACGCTAAAAAAGTTATTTGCAAATGTGGTCAAATTATTTCACTTGGAGTCAATTATCAAGTTGTAACCTTTAATAGATTATTTCTATTAAGGTTTATCTTCCAGTATCACAACGGTGAAAAAATTTGACAGGAGACATTATAATTCATATCACACCACTAGAAGTAGTTTATTTTTTGGGATTACTCTGATATCAATGACGTTAATATATCAATCCTTGTTTGATTGCAGTAAATGATAAAATATTTTAGTATGCCAAGTACACAAAACTTCCTTGTATATGTTTTTAATTAGTGAAGATAAATTTCACTATTTTGATTCGCATTATTATTATTAATAATTGTGTGTTTAGAAAAATCAATTCGCATTAATACGATTTTCATTTAATTGGGCGGTCACATACATGTAATTTTCCCAGTCCTATATAGTATAGTAAAAGTGCAAGACACTTAGCCCCCACAACTTTCTGTGCCACAGCGCCAATTTTGGGGTACAGTCCATATGATTTTAGCATCGATTATGTAATTTGTTTAGTTGTTAGTTCTGTGATTGAATCTAGGAATCATGATTTTAGAAGCATCAGGAAATTTAAATAAAAAGAAAATTTGGATACTAATCAGTTTTGCAAGCATATTAATGACTGAATTTCATGCATCTTGAAAAGAATCATTATCAGAAAATAAATATTTCCTGAGCTTTGGATTCAAACGAAATGTCAATTTGTCTGATTCATACTATAATTATCATCAATTATTATAATCATCAAAATAGACAGTGTCATCCCATGTAAATTAACTGTCAGTGAAGTGTTTTTCGACGAAATGAACCGTCGATGAAGTAAACGTGACCGCAATTTTACGTACTTTTTGAAGATCTTCAAGCAACGAAGCAATAATATATATATATATATATATGAGAATTAAATTAAAATACTTACAAAGAAAATAAATTTGAATAGTTGGAATGCGAAGTATCCTAGCATGATATAGTTTTTCATAAAATAGACTATTTCGTGGCCAAACGGTGCATTGACGAGTGGTCTAATAAATCACTACAAAAACATATAAATAGACCTGCCATCTCCAAAAAATTGCATCCTGAATTCAATGGTTGAGATACATATCAGGATAGTTCATTATCATTACTGAAGCTTTGTTAATAGGATTTATTATTATTATCCAAAAAATTCTAAATCCGGTTTGTCTGTTTAGAATCCGAATTCGAACCAGTTCAACAAAAATAAACCAGATCTAAACCTTAGTAGAGAAGAAGAATAACAATCGAAGGTGTGAAAGACACTCTCAAAAAAAATAATAATAAAACACTTCTCGTCTGTAGAAAATGAGTTTAATTTCAAATTTCAAGAACGAATCCACAAACATGATAACGATGCAGTAATATGATTTTGATTATCTGCGCCATTAGATGTCAAAGATATTTTATTACAATTCTTAAGGAAGCTTTATTTCAAGTTAAAAATTCACAACTTGTTGTTGTTGTTATTATTGTTATTAACTATAATTGATTGTTAATTATTAATTATATTGTTATTGTTACTATTCACAATTTGTTAATGTTGTTATTATTATTGTTATCATTATTAACTATTTAAATTATTACTATTTCTTGCGGAGATTTATAATTCTCTTATTCCATGATATCATTAAAATTGAAGAAACAAAACAAAGCACACACATCACAATACCAACTTTAAAAGCAGTTTGGAATGAAATCACAAATATACGCATGAATGTAATTTTAACTGCTGGTGGTAAATTATCAATGTCAATATCATTAAAACTAGACAATGCATCCTTGAGAAATGGTGTTAATTGTTGAGACTTTTCAAGGGGTGATGGAGTAAAAAGTGCACCCACAAGGTCATTCATATGATTGTTTATATCGTTATTAAGTATTACACCTACTATTGCTATGCCAAAAACTCCACCAACTTTATTATTTATTTTAAAAAAAAAAAAAAGAGAAATTTGATTAATTAGAATTTTCCACACACCAAACGTACACACATCTACATAGATAAATTAAAAAACTTACTTGTTCTAAACAAAGAAATTAAGCAAGAAGCAGCTGCAATGTGCTCTTTTGGAACGATAATCTGTACAAATGAAATGGTAGTTGGCATAATCAGACCAGCTCCAATACCAGCTATTATCAAGTAGCCAGTCAATTCACCTCTTGTGCTATTTTCTGTAAATGTACTAATCAGTCCTGTACCGATTGTTATTAATACTGACCCTAGTATACACAAATGTGTACAATATGATGTTTTCTTTAAGAGAGTAATCAATATACCGGCGAATATTGTGGCAAAAACTGTTGCTAGTATATATGGTAATAATTCTACCCCGGATATGGTTGCTAATTTATTTATTTTTGATTAAAAAATCTTTTTTTTTTTTTTTTTTTTAAAAGAAAATAAATTGTGTATTTTGTACCTGATGATCCTTTAACTAATTGAAAATATAATGGCACAAAATATACCAAAGTAAAGAATGACATTCCTTGAAAAAATGTAACAGCAAAAGATGCGACACTTGAACGTTTCTTAAATAATAGAGCTTTTAAATAAAATAAAAATCAAAAAAAAAAATCAATTAACATTATAATCCATTTTTTTTTTTAAATTAAAAAAATTTAATTAAATTTACCTGGAGTGAGTGGTTCCTTTGCAACATATCCTTCAATAAAAGCAAATAATAAAAAGCCAATCCCGCCAACACACAATAATACAATTATTGCAGGATGATACCATTCATATTTAGCACCACCCCAATTAAATGCTAATAATATTAAAAATATTGAGGTTGTTAAAACTAAAGTTCCCCACCAATCAACTCGTTTTAATTTTTCTATTAATGATTCTTGTTTCTTATTATTATTTGGTGGATGAAAAAAAAAAATTACTGTTATTAAAGTAATTGCGCTTAATGGTACATTAATATAAAACGACCACCTGAATTCAATCATATATATATATATATAAAGGAATATGTTTATTAATTACACGATTGAAAAGTGAAATTTTTATATCTTTTTTACGATAGAAATTTACCTCCAAGTTACATAATCTACAAATATTCCACCTAAAATAGGACCTATAGCAGATGAAATAGCAAAGAAACCACCAATAATTCCCTGATATTTGCCACGTTGTTCTGTTGGAACCATCTCTGCAACTATTACTAGCACCAATCTATATTTATTTAAATATGAAATTCATTAAAAGAAATTTTCAAGATTATAGTCAGAACCAACAGAAGAAGAATGGATTTTTTTTTATTTACCCCAAAATACCACCACCACCTAAACCTGCAATAGCACGACCTACGATTAATGCATTCTATGATATGATTTCCAAAAAAATTTTAATTTTAATTTTAAATCGTGAAATGATTTATTTAAATATTTAAAATTCTTACAATATTGGGGGCTGCACCACATACAACGCTTCCAATTACGAAGATTATAACTGCAGACAAAAATGGACCTTTCCGTCCAAAAATATCCGTAAGCTTTGCATAAGTTGGTTGAGAAGCTGTCTACAGTAAACAATTAACATAAAGTAGTTAAGTAAGTTAATCAAACAATATTCAAAGGATAAACTTATAATTTAGTAGCATACCGCAGTTAGTAGGTAGGCCGTGCCTATCCATGTTATTTGATCAAATTTTCGAAATTCTTTACCAATGGCGGGCAAAGTTGTTACAATAATAGTTTGATCCAATGCAGCCAAAAAAATTCCAAATGAAAGACTAAAGTAGAAAAAACAACAAACAATCAATAATAAAATCAATTAAACGTTGAGTGAACTAAGCAAATATATAATTACCCAATAAATAGCAATATAAAATTTAATTTCTCTTTAGTTGTAATTTTTGGTTTCTCCTTGGCTTTTTCCATATTATCATAGTTGGTAGCATAATTATCATTATGGGGCAATTTATCTTCTTCTTGCTTCTTGTCATCATCTTTTGGTTTTTCTTGTTCCTCTTCTGCTAATTCTTCTTTGATCCTATCCATATTATTATTATCCGTACTATTGATGATTAATTTAATATCATTATTGATGATTAATAATTTAATATCATTTTGCTTCTCGTCATTATTTTTCGATTCTTCTTGTTCCTCATTATCATTGTTGATTAATTTATTATTTTCTTGTTTCTTGTCGTTATCTTGCGATTTTTCTTGCTCCTCGACTTTTTCTTCTTTTTTGACCTCATTGACAATATAATTATTATTATTGATGATTAATTTATTATCTTCTTGCTTCTTGTCATCATCTTTGGATTTATTATTCTCTTGCTCCTCGACACTTTCTTCTTTTTTGACCTCATTGACAATATAATTATTATTATTGATGATTAATTTATTATCTTCTTGTTTGTCATAACTTGTTGTCCATTTGATTCTATAATCATTGATGGGTGGTTTAACAGCATTTTTCAACATTCC